GTGTGCCTGCAATATCTGTAGTGTTTTGGTAAGAATAAAGACGATATTGGGACAGTCGGAAGGACTGTATTTCTAAATGCAGATATTACAGAGAAAAATCTTTTTTTAATGGTGGTTTGGCCGGGATTTGGTAGGCGAAAAGTTTGTGGTCAGTCACATTGAGGGTTCTTGCCCTGTTTCTTTTGATGTTGAGGAGCACCATTCTTTTAGTGAATTTACTTTAGATATTAGACCTTGTTTTCTCTGCAGATGATTTCCGGGAGCTATAGTCTTGCATTTCACAGGTCGGGAAAGGTTGGTTCGAGGAAGAGTGGAAATGCTGCCTTCGGCTGTATTTAAAAATCACTGTGCGGGAGGTGCTCGGCAAGGGTTTTTCGGGTGGTGAGTGTTGTTGCTCTGGTTTTTTTATTTGTGAGACTAGGATGTGTACACTTTCAACGTACTTGGAAAAGTGAATATTTGGTGAAGATTTTCAACTGGTGAGATATATTAATAATCTGTCGGGTAAATGTGGATTCAATGAGTGGTACAGAGGTGGCTGTGGTAGCAGAAGCATTGCAATATGCCTGTGAGGTTAATAAATAGTGCAGGGGAATAGCAACTTCAAGATACTATTAGCTTGATGATTAAAACACGTGCGTAACATTTGAGAGGTGACAGAATGCTATAGTGGACGGATGAAGTCAGTTGGACTGAATTTTATTCCGGCAGATCGTTCTGAAGATGTAAGCGAATAATTTTTTCTTCTGCTTCTAGAAGCCTTTGGGCAGTAGCATATGAGATTAGAGGGTCTGGGGTCATCGTTTCTTGTGGTGCCTTAGGGTCCACATCAAGCAGCAACCAGGTAGCAACTCTGAAATTAGTGAGAACTATCGTACTGGTGCTTAATGCTAAGTTTTTCCGAAGTTGTAAAGGTGTCAAGTGCAGAACACTACTGGTGATATGTTCACTCAAATAGGTTAAAGTTACAAAACAGTCTTTCTCGTCGATGGCAACCTAAAGGGATCATTTGGGTTCGTTGAGGAGTATTCGCTCTCTGAATCTGCTATTTCGCTTTGAATACTCGTTGGGTTCTGCAACATATCTTTTAGTGCTCGTGCTTATTGTTTATTAAAGTCCTAGAAAGTCAGAATATGCATCTCGAAATCTATTCAGGACTTGTGCCACAGCAGCATTTATATTACCAAAGATTTTTTACAGAACTACCGAATGAAGCTATCAAGTTTACCGAACGTTTTTCGCTGATACGACTTTGAGCTGGAGTGACTGCTGTAGGGGTGACAGAAGTAAGGCAGTCTAAATCTGAAGGTTTATTTTCACCTTCAATCGGATTCATATTCTGATTTTTTATGAGAGAAAGCACTTCGGTCAAAGCATCTAAATTTTCAATTAAGTTGACGAGACTGCAAACCATGTAGAACGCCCTAAAGGTGCGTATTGTGAAGGCAGTTTTGGTTTTTATTTTTAACTTATAGATGATACATGATTTAAAACTGACCTGGGTCAGCTCCTAAATCGTTGATGCCAATGAAACCGTTGATGAAATTCTCGTACTTTGTACAATCGTGGCTAATCAAGTCGCTGTGAATTAGTAAATTGTAGAATGACGACCGCTAAATAAAAGTTTATTCTTGACAGAGATATCTGAGGGGAAAGAATTTTCTAAATCATATGCTAATCATTAATTAAATACTTACTGAATAAGGAAACGGAGCATCATCAGGCATCAATAACTTCCCTGGAATCTTATCAATTCGTGGAGATACATCTATAACTGTTGGAATGGCTTTGAAACGAACTTTTTTTGAAGTCATTATCTTAATACATCCATGCATCATAAAAAAATAAAGAGATGATCATATTCACAAATCAAAAATTACTATGATTATCTGCAAAAAATATATAATTTTCACGTGAAAGGGAAGCTATCTTAGAAACAAGCAACAACAGCGACTACATACAATTTAAAACCTGTTTCATGATTTTTTTTTTTTTTTT